CTTAGGGTCTACTCTAATAACCTCATTTGAACATAATTACCTCTTTAAAGATCCTATTTTCAAATATGGTCATATTCTGAGGTACTAGGGGTTAGGACTTCAGCATATAAATTAGGAGGATGAGGGATACACAATTCAGATCATAATAAGTCTAAATATTTGGCTTTTTCTCTCCAGATACCCAGTTTCCCTAAATTGACAACCCACACCCAGTGACTGGCTGATGCAGTGCTATAAAGGTCTGTTCCACTTGCCCCAAATTCAGGCTAACTCCGTAAAGCCATCCCAGCCCCAGAGCTCCCTGTGCCATGAGCTGAGTTCTTTGTTATGAGAGTATCACAGCTCCCCTCTACCTCATCCTACTTCCTCACTCCCTCACAAGTGTTGGGTCCTTATACATTTGCCAAAGAACTCAACCTGTGATAACTTTAGTTCAATAGATTTGACACTTTCCTTGCAAGGGAACTCTTGGTTTCTTACTATTATTGTCAGTTGTCCTCATTAACAGGGTCATTTAATACCTAGCTGCAAATTACTGAAAGTTTGTTTGGAACGACAATTTTTCTTATAGACTTTAATGATTATTCTAGCTAAAGGTCTTTTTTTTTTTTTCCTCCGAACTTCTGTAGGACAGCCCTGTACAATTTAGTACTTTAATGATGATTTGTATTTTTTGCTCATTCACATTTGTAAATGATTTAAGATTGCACATTTCCTGAAAGTTGATATGCTTCTATCATATTTTTTTCCTGTTCTTCAAAATGTGTAACACAGTTTCAGAGCTCTAGTTGGTACTTAAGGAATTTGGGAGCATACAGTAGTGTAGACACCCCAGAATTTTTAAATGAGAGTGTGGAATCTGAATTATAAAACTCATATTAGGGAAAGCCTACACTGGGAAAAGAAACTGCATATGTGGTATAAAATAAATAGAAGATCTGTGTTTGAATATTGACTATGCTGTTTACCCACTATGTGATCTTATAAAAGTTACTTACCCTCCCTGAGCCTGAGTTTTCTCATCCATAAAATAGGAATATTATTAATAGCAATCTTATAAAGTTGCTGTGAATGTTAAATGAGATGCAGTATTAAATAAGATGCATGCAGTATTTAGCACATGATTCAATCATAAAATGGATATTATTACCTTCACACTTCAATCTTTCTGAATTCATGATGCATCTTGTGATTAGTGTCAAAAGAAATTTGTCAGTTTTATGCAAGGAAGTGGAGCATGATATGTTAATAGTTCTTAAGGTCTGTATGAGTGGACTTAGTCATCACAGAAGATAACTATTCACCCAGTTACTTGCCTTAGTTAAATACCTTGTAGTTGTGACAGAACCTTAAATTTGGATACCTAGTTATTATTTTAAAGTGTCCCCAAAAGGATTACATTATAATCCAAAGACATAGCTTTAACATAAATGGTTACAGTGGAGCAGATTGCCTATCATATGCCAAGTAATTCAGTTAAAGATGATGGAAAATATTTTAGAATTAGCTGTATAACTTTCAAAATTAGAAAAAGTTGTATGACCAATTGATGAATTAGGAAAACCAAATTCTAAATCTAATCCTAAAGAAGCAATCAAACAAACCCAAATTGAGGGTCATTCTACAAAATAACTGATCTGTGTTCTTCAAAAATGTCAGTGTCTGGAAAAGCAAAGCAAAGCAAAGCAAAGTTGAGGAACTATTTAGAGTTAACAGAGACTAAACCAGTATGACAACTAAATAAAATATATGGTCTGGATTGGATCTTGAATTAGAAAAAATAAAATTGCCATGAAGGACAAATTAGAACAATTGGTAAAATATGGTATGGACAGTTTGATTATCATATTGCATCAATGTTAAATTTTCTGAATTTTCTTATTATACTTACTATATTATATAAAATTCTTAAATACTATAATTAATCTAATTATACTGACTTATTGAAGAGTTTTCACAGGTTAAGTTCCTCAGCAAGTTTATAAGGACTCAACACTTGTGAGGGAGTGAGGAAGTAGGATTAGGGAGAAAGGGGAGCTGTGATACTCTCATAACAAAGAACTCAGCTCACGGCACAGGGATCTCTGGGGCTGCGATGGCTTTATGGAGTTGTCCTGAATTTAGGGCAAGTGGAGCAGACCTTTATACCACTGCATCAGCCAGTCACTGGGTGTACGCTGCCCCGGGGAAGAGTGCATGACGTTCATCAAAGTGTGTCTCTTTAGCCAAGGACAATTTCCAGAAGGGGATTCAGCTGCAAGCTGTTCATTGCCAAAACTCTTCAGCTGATGGGGAGAATTAGTAGTTCAGTCCTAAAGAGGGAGGAGGAATATAGGTGTCAGACCACAGCATCCACTCTGATTATCATATCTGTAATTTACTTTAAAATGAGTCAGTAAGTAGAATGATGTGAGAACAAAGATAATACCAGAAATGGACAAAAGCAAGAAAGAAAGATCTCAAATTAGCAAAATACGAAAAAACCGGTGAATCTGAGTGAAGTACTGTTTTCAGCTTTTCTGTAGGTTTGAAATTTTTTTTAAAAAGTTTAAAAAATGAAATTCCCAGGTGATACCAGTACACTAGCAGATTGGAGGACTGTGGAATGAAGTCATCTTTAGAATTCATCCCAGCGCTAGCATGATGGAATTCTGTGACATGGTCAGATTGGTTATGGTGCATTTGCTTTGGGCTCTTGAAGCTATGGAACCACAGCATATTTCCTACATGTTTGTTTTGTCTATAAGTTCTCAAACTTTAATCATATTGTTTGATTAAATGGGTTTGAGGGATTGTAATACCAACCCTGGATTTATAAATAAGGCTGTTCTTTTCTCTATTTTGATGATCAACAGTGGGCAAGTTTCTGTATTAGTGATCAATTACCCATTTGAAGAAAAACAGGGAAGCTGAGAATATTTAAGATACATTTATTGAGATGATTTAAGACAAAATTATTAGACCTCATAGTTAATGAAATTGTGTTGTAATAGATACATATTGTCAATAGTTTATTGAAAAACTGCAAGCAAATCAAATGTCTTTGCCTTTATTAAAAGCCAGGGGAAGATATAGCGGGCTCAAATATTTAATATTTATCTTTTTAATTGTGAAATCATCTTTGGAATATTTATTTATTATGAAATACGTTTTAAAATATTGCTTAATTCTAAAATATGATTTAAAATAAACTATTTCTCTATAGTTTTTACCGAGTCCTTATCTCACTAGGCTGGAATATTGATCCCAACTACATCTTGTTTTAGATGTGAGGATGGTCATGTCTTTCCACTCTGTTTTCAATGTTACATCAAAAAGTCTCAATTCAAGGGCATTGAAGACAGTTATTTTCTTATGAAAGGTTTGCCAACTCCTTTCTTACAGGGATCTTGCTGAATGCATTCAGCAAACATTTTTAAGCATAGACTTTAGAGTCAGTCTCCCTGGATCCAAATTCCAGTTCTAACACGTAGCTATGTGCTCTTTGGAAAACTACTTAACTGCTCTGTATCTTAGTTTCCTCATCTATAAAATATAATACTTATAGAATTAATAGTTCATATTATCTATGTTATAGAGTTATTTTGAATATTGAATGAGTTATAATATGTAGAACACCAGGCATGTAATAAGTACTTAATAAGTTTTAGATATTATTATTGTCATCATTATTAGATATTTATACTGCATACTAGAATCACGTTTTAACTTAGATCATTATTATTATATTGATTTTATAAAAATAAAGATGCACGTTAATTAAATGTTAATCCAAAATCACCAAGGTCATCTAACTAGTGAAGGAGGAGAGCTGGAATTCAAACTTCAAGCCCAATTTTCTTTTCACTTTTGTGCACTCATGGGTGGGAGAATTCCAGTGTATTTTTTTGTCAGCCTCCCAGGACCAGCAGTAGATTACCATTTGGAATGGGCTTAGATAGATCCTGCCACCTCCAATGTGTTTTTACATGTAATCCTGCATGCTACAGATGTGAGTATCTGGGGACTTTATTTTCTATCAGATTATACATTATTGAGAGCACAGTCTAAGTCTTATTGGTATTTGTGTCCCATGCACTGCTTAGTGCAATGCTTTGAAGATAATAATTGTTCAGAAATTATTTGTCAAAAGCATTCCTGAACAAAATTACTATTGATTTTTAACATAGTTAGGTTGGGCGCAGTGGCTGACGCCTGTAAATCCCAGCACTTTGGGCGGCCGAGGCGGGTGGATCACAAGATTAGGAGATCGAGACCATCCCGGTTAACGTGGTGAAATCCTGGCTCTACTAAAAATACAAAAAATTAGCTGGGCATGGTGGCGGGCGCCTGTAGTCCCAGCTACTCGGGAGGCTGAGGCAGGAGAATCGCTTGAACCTGGGAGGTGGAGGTTGCAGTGAGCTGAGATCGTGGCACTGCACTCCAGCCAGGGCAACAGAGCGAGACTCCATCTCAAAAAAAATACACAAAACAAAACAAAACAAACATAGTTGATGCTTGTGTTTTAGTTTTACATGTTGCTATTCCAACATTTAGTAGGGATGCAATAGCCAAGACTCAAGCTTCCCACAAGGAATTAAACAATTTGAACTTTGCTTTGTCCACCAAAACATTCATCCCATTATGGTTTTGTGTAAAATAAGCCTTATTTTCTGTCTATAAATAGATTATTTCAAAACGTTAATTAGTGTGGCCAGACCTGATAATGGTTTCCTGATTTATAACTAGATCTTTTAATTTATCTAACCTTAAAGCTTTGTATTATTCTTTTCTCCTTATGAACTTATTGCCATTTCGATCAAGCTTGTCCAATCCTCAACCCACAGGCCGCATGCGGCTCAGGACGGCTTTGAACGTGGCCCAGCCTAAATTTGTAAACTTTCTTAAAACATTATGAGATTTTTTTTTTTTTTTGCGTGTTTTTTCTTCTTTAGTTCATCAGTTATTGTTAGTGTTAGTGTATTTGATGTGTATCCCAAAGACAATTCTTTTTCTTCCAGTGTGGCCCAGGGAAGCCAATGTGGATACCCCTGATTTAGATGATAGTCCGCTTCTGCCACTTCGTTGAGCTTCATTTATCTGATCTGCCACATGCAAAGGTTAGGTAAGATGGCTTCTAAACTATGACTTTGTAAATTTTTGCTCTTTATAAGAAGATAATTTATATGTAAACCAGTTTACTTCCATACTAACCAAGATTGTCTCCTTTCACAGTAGTGAATCAGATTGCTATCCATTTGGCCTGGTCATTTGAGTCTTGCTAATTGGTCTATGAGAAACATTGTCAAAATTTTGAATCTGCTCTTTAGGGGGACATTTAGGTGAACCGGTGTGAACTGATATTTTAGGATTGTGTCCAATTGAATGTGTGTGTGTGTGTGATGGGGGAGTTGAGGTTTGCCACATGATTAGTTTTTCATCTAATTTTAATATTAATTATTTGGAGAGCCCTAGTAATTGTTCATGTATTTCTTCTTAAACACAATATAAACAGACCCATTATTAGGATTCAAACTTTGAACTGTATCCTTTCCTCCTTCCTTCCCAACTCCTTTCTCTGTCCCTACTCCTCCCTCCTTTCTTTCTCTCTCCTTCTTCCTTTTCTTCCTCTCCCTTCTCTCCCTTCTTTCCTCTCCCCTCCAAATATTCTCTCCTTTCTCCTTCCCTTTCTTCCTCCCTCCCTTGCTTACTCACTCCTTTCCTTCCTTCTAAGAGAGTTTAATGAGAATCCACTGTGAGGCACTTTTCTGAGGACTTAACGATTCAAGCTTTAAATAAGGTCTAGTCCTTGTCCTCAGGTAGCTCTTAGACTCATAGGGCACACAGAAACGAACAGATACTAATCATAAAATAAGTTGGTAAGTACAGCAATGTCAAAAACACTGTGTTCTTATAGGGTTAGATAGAATTTAGGGTTAGGAAGCATTCCAAATGAGGCGATAGTTGGGTTGAGACTAGTCAGATGAGTATGGTCATGGTAACAATATATACAATATATATACTATATATACACACAATATATATACAATATATACTCTATATATAATGCATATACACACACACACACACACACACATATATATATTTCCGCAAACACCTTTTACTGAACTTCTTGAGTTTCATGACTGCCCTTTAGAACTTGGAAAAGAACACAAGCTACAGTAAAGAAAAATATGCCCGTCCAAACAAATTTGAAAGGTCAACTCTCAGTCTGTCAAACTGAGATTCTTGTTGTACACTTGATTCTCTTGGTGTAACACCCCCATGGTTTGAAGGGAAACATGCCCTTTAGAAAACAGGACAGACCGTCATGGGTTGGGTTTGTCAAACTTTTTTAGTACCCTGGGTTTTATCAAAATAACGCCATCCAGTTTTGCCAAGGGCTTTGCTCCTCACTTAAAAAGCCCTCATATTTCAGTCCATGTGTTTCATATTCATTTAGACATCTTATCACGCTAGAGTTGGGTAAGAATTGTTTAGTGTCCAAAACGTCTTTCCTACTAGCCTTTGATTCTTGGATTCTTAGAAATAAAGATTATGCCAGGTATGGTGGCTCACACCTATAATCCCAGCACTTTGGTAGGCCAAGGAAGCGGATCACTTGAGGTCAGGAGTTCAAAACCAGCCTGGGCAACATGGTGAAACCTTATCTCTACTAAAAATACAAAAATTAGCTAGGTGTGGTGGTGCTTACTTATAGTCCCAGCTACTCGGGAGACTGAGAATTGCTTGAATCCAGGAGATAGAGGTTGCTGTGTGCTGAAATTACACCACTGCACTCCATCCTGGCTGGAGAGTCTCAGAATGAGACTCTCAAAAAAAAAAAAAAAAAAAAAGAAAGAATGAATGAATGAAAGAATTACACTTTGCCAAATGTAAATGAATTTCAGACCCTTACTTTTCAAAGGGGCTTTGCAAATCTCCTTGTGCTGTAGGCAAATCTGGAAAAATCTGTATGTCCCTATCCTGATTCTAGAGATACTCAGGCATGGGAGCCTTTCTCAAAGTGATCTCCCTATATTAGAATCCCCCAGGGGTTCTTAAAAATACCTCTTCATGGGCTCCAATACAGATTTACTAAATTTGAATCCCTTCTTGTTTTATATAATGTGATTCTTTAGAAGGAACTGCACATTCACTTAGTGAATATGTACTGTATATTTATATAGTGAATAGGTACTATATATAAATATATAGGTAAATATATACACACATACATGAATATAAATATATATTACTATATATATTTATATATAGTACCTATTCACTAAGTGTTAGCTGTTATTATCCAGATGCCTTCTAGATGTCTCAATTTGATATCCAACAGACACTTGGAACTCACCTTGTCTAAAATTGAACTCATGATCATCCCTCCAAATGTAGTCAAAAGTATGCCTTGTCTCAGGGGGCAGGGTGCCACCATTGCCGAATCTAGAAACCCCAGCAGTTACTTGCCTCTCACTTCCAATGGCTCATTATGTCCTAGTTAGATTTTATCTCTAACATCTTTCTAATTAATTCCCTCGTTTTCATGCCTTCTGCCACTGGCTGGTTAGATCCACAACATCACCTCCACCCTCATCCAAATTACTACAATCACCTCTTTCCTTGGCTTTCAGTCTTCCAACTTCTCCAGAGGACTAGTCCATCCTCCACACTTAAATATATATCTGATGGTGCCACCTCCCTTTTTGACTGCCTGGGCTCAAGCCGTGATTCCTTATTAATGTCTAGGATGAAGTTTAACTTTTACTTTAATGCCCACAGCCATTATGATTGGTCTCTTTCTTACCTCTGCAGTTTATCTCTCACTACCCGATGTGAATCCTTTGCTCTAGCCGTACGAATAAAGTTCTCCAAATGTGTTCTGCTCTTCCATGCTTTTACGTACTCAGTTATCCTCTGTCATTCCTATTCCCTTCCATGTGTCACCCTCTCCTAACTTCTTTTAGCTCTTATGTTTTCTCAGAATCAGCTTCGATATCACCTCTTCTTTAAAGTCTTCCCCTATCAGTCTGATTTAATTGCCACTATCCTTAGCAGAGTGTAGTAAGTACTTAGCATAATATAATAAATAATACAATTTATCATTTATTTCTTTTTTGGGAGAGGTCAAGTGGAGTTTACCACACTATTGTTAGTTATAAAGCTTATTTTGAGACCTATTCTTTCCACATTTACTCTAGAACTTTCTAAATTTATGAAAGTAGTTGATCTTTGGAATGCCAATTACATTTAGAGGGAGGTATCGGAGGGCTCCATAAGGCTTGCTGAAGTGCTGCTGATGACGTTCTATATCTTCATCTGGGTGGCAGTCTATGAATATGTACATATGCAAATGCATTATTCTCTATTCTTAAATATGTGCACTTGACTATAAGTCATACTTTATTTTTTAAAAAGTGAATAAAAGTAGCTGACCTTTTATCTTTAACTAAAAAATTCTCTTTTCTGTTTTGTCTATTGAATGATATCATGGGTGCCTTGCCTCCCGAGCACAACGTTAAATGCCGTTATAGCAAGGCACATTTAGCTTCCTGGGGAAAAGGGCTTTTACAATTTTAACTTCTCACTAGGCAATGAAATAATAAAATGGGATTAATTGGAGAAGTAGTTTAATACTTGCTTTACTAATGTTTCTACTCCCCAAATATTTATTTAATTTTGGTAGGTATTAATCTTGTTACTATTGTTACTCTTTTTAGCTCTTCAAGGTTACCAGAAGTAAAGATTATTATGAATTATCCCATTAAAAATTATTTAAAATATAGATAAAAAATAAACCATTGCTTCTGAATTTTCTTTTTTTTTTTTTTTTTTTTTTTTGAGACGGAGTCTCACGCTGTTGCCCAGGCTGGAGTGCAGTGGCGCGATCTCGGCTCACTGCAAGCTCCGCCTCCCGGGTTTCCGCCATTCTCCTGCCTCAGCCTCCTGAGTAGCTGGGACTACAGGCGCCCGCCACCGCGCCCGGCTAATTTTTTGTATTTTTAGTAGAGACGGGGTTTCACTGTGGTCTCGATCTCCTGACCTTGTGATCCGCCCGCCTCGGCCTCCCAAAGTGCTGGGATTACAGGCTTGAACCACCGCGCCCGGCCTGCTTCTGAATTTTCAACTTCAGGTCTTAACTCTTTGACTTAATCATTGTACTACATGATCTGCAAACTCTTAGTCCTGAGGGTCTATAATTTCACTTGTAGTGTTTTCTTTGAAGAGACTTTATTGATTAAGCATTGCATTCATTTCCTATTTCTTTGGAAAGTAAATTCCCTTTGAAAGTAGACTTATAAACATAGATTATGTTGCTTGCTATTGTATCTCCAGCACTTAAAACAGCCTCTGACACATAGTTGATGCCGAAGTATAGTAACAGTAATATTGAGGCACACCCGAAATATGGGCCTCTTTATTCAGTAATTATGTTTATATATACAAAGCAACCCAATGCTATATCTTACCTAGATTTACTTCTAATTTAAAATTCATGGATCACAGCACAGTCATATTTCTGGGAGATGGAAGCATCAATTTCGTTGTTATTGTGGCATTAGAACAAATCTTGGTTTGACTGGAAAATCATAAGTAAATCTGGACTCAGTCCAAGTTTTATCAAATAACCTTGAAACTTTTAGATTTGAGTTAATCTCCTTGTACTGTAGGCAAGTAGAAACAATAAAATTGAAATACTGTTTTTCCTTTTTATAATAGTATTAAAAATAAGAATGAAGTAAAATCTATAGTCATCGAAAAAAATTAAAACATTATATGAATTTAAGATGATATTATTAAATATTTTTGGCTAGTACTGTTAATAATTTGCAATAACCAGATAATGTGTATTTTCAGGTCCTAGTCATACTTGTTAGGATTATAGAGACAAATTATATTAATAGCTATTTCTCAGAGCAACTGTTTCTGGAAAGAATATAGAAAATAATTTACTCATACTGTAGAAAATATATTTTTTCATAAAATATAAGAATGTATTTCTTGGGCATATATTCAGTATATTCTGACTAAAATCAGCTTAGCACTCTTCTTTTTCAAAAAACAAAATATGGCTGGTTGCGGTGATCCCAGCACTTCGGGAGGCAGAGGTGGGTGGATCACTTGAGGTTGGAAGTTTGAGACCAGCCTGGCCAACATGGTGAAACCCTGTCTCTGCTAAAAATACAAAAATTAGCTGGACGTGGTGGTACATGCCTGTAATCCCAGCTACTCAGGAAGCTGAGGCAGGAGAATTGCTTGAACCTGGGATGCAAAGGTTGCAGTGAGCCAACATCGTACCATTGCACTCCAGCCGGGGCAACAAGAGTGAAACTCCATCTCAAAAAATAAAAAAAAAAAAAAAAAAAAAAAAAAAATCACAAAAGAAGTAGCTGTTTTCTTGCCATTCACTTAGTATGCCGTTATTGTTTTTCCAGATCTGTACTGGGTTTTGTGGAAAATATGGAAAGATTAGTAAACATGCTACTTAAATTGAAAGGGTTTACAACCTTGTAGGATAAAATAAGCCACATCTGTGGCATTTTTATTGAACAGTTTTCTTGTTATTAACTATTTTTCAAATCCACTAAATAAATTCTTACAAAGGCTAAAACTCCAGCCTATTAAAATCCCTTTGAGTTAGTTTCCCAGGTAGGTTATTAACAAATATAAGTGATGCTGCCTTCATTTTCTGAGTTTTTGTTGGTCAATAGTTTCTATTGACTGGTACTTCTTCGTTTTACATTTAAAATAGTTATTTCAAGTATTTGCTATTAGGATGCTGTAAAATATCGATAGAAATGCTTTCTATATCATCAGAATTAAATAAGTGATTAAATTTGGTTGAATTTAATTTTAAGGTTAAATAGCTTAAACTTTTTATTTCCATGTTTGTAGTCCCCTGGAGGAAAGACATGACATGTTTTACTTTCTTGCATACCCCAAGCATTATGTTTGTGCAAACAATGATACAGTTTTTCCCCCCAAAAGCTAAAGGCGTGGGTCATATCTATAATCACAGCACTCTGGGAAGCAGAGGTGAGAGGATCAATTGAGGCCAGGAGTTCGCAACCAACCTGGGCATCATAGGAAGACCCCATCTCTACCAAAAAACAAAAGATAAAAAAATTAGCTGAGCACAGTGGCATGTGCCTATAGTTGCAGCTACTCAAGAGGCTGAGGTGGGAGTGTGGTTCAAGCCTAGGAGATCCAGGCTGCAGTGGGCCATGATCACACAACTGTGTTGTAGGACTTTCTCCTTAGTTTAGCTAAAAGCCGGGTTCTTGTCACATGGCCATGAAATATTAGGCTTGCAGACACTTTGAAGAGTGAGAAAACTGGAATTTATTGGGCGAAAGGGAAAAAAGGGAAACACAGACTCTCAGGAAAGTGAGAGTCCTGCTAGCTGGTTTCCTGCCTCATAGATTGAATGGCAGGTTACTACCCTGGATCAGAAAGGCCAGGCTCCTCCCAGATGCAAAGGGCATGAACTTCCTGAGGCCCCACCCCAGTGCACACTCCTCCCAGTGGCGGGCTGGTTGGAGGTTCTGCCAGGGGTCCCTTTTTACTTGGCTGTCTCAACTGCACTCCAGCATGGGAAACAGGGAGGCCCTGTCTTGAAATAAATAAATAAATAAATGGCCAGGCGCAGTGGCTCACACCTGTAATCGCAGTACTTCAGAAAGCCAAGGTGGGTGGCTCACTTGAGGTCAGGAGTTCGAGACCAGCCTGGCCAACATGGCAAAACCACGTCTCTACTAAAAATACAAAAAATTAGCCAGGCGTGATGCTGGGCACCTGTAATCCCAGCTGCTCGGGAGGCTGAGGCAGGAGAACCGCTTGAACCCGGGAGGCGCAGGTTACAGTGAGCCGAGATTGCACTACTGCTCTCCAGCCTGGGCAACAAGAGCGAAATTCTGCCTCAATAAATACATAAATAAATAAGAAAAAATTTAAAATTAAATAAAGAAGGCTAAAGGCTATTAGAAATTATTATATACTAAGATAAATTTAACAATAATTATGTAAGATGCAGCGATGCTGTTTTAATTATACAAAGAAAAAACAAATTTAAATCTGCAGATTGCAATGTCCAAATGAAGTAAAGAATTTCAAATTTTTGGCAGGGAATGGTAGCTCATGCCTATCATCTCAGCCCTTTAGAAGGCTGAGGGTGGGAGGATTGCTTCAGCCCAGGAGTTTGAGACCAACCTGGGAAACATGTAGTGAGACCCTGTCCCAGTTAAAAAAAAAAAAAAGAAAAAATTTCAAATTTTTACCTAACACAATGAAATCTGAGTTGAAATCTACTGAAATAGTATTAGATTTTCCTTTCACCTTCTATAGCTGAAATTTTATTTTGAAAGATGTCAAAAGAATAAATAAGTATATAAAAATATGGATTTGCTTCTTTGAAGTGTTTAAAAATTATTTCTCATTTTACTACTGGTCAAGAACTTGTATTAACTTAAATGTTTGGCATCTGGCTCATAGGTTCTAGCATGTAATAGGCACTCAGTAAAAGGTTTTATTAGTTCAGCTGGAAATTTAAGTTAATACAGTAACATGAATAAAAACAAAAAACAAACCAGGATCACCACAACAAAAACACCTGGCACAAAGCTCAATTTAGACAAAATACAATAAAGGATGAGTTCTTGCCTTCCTCCCTCTCACTCCTGCCTCTGAACGTTTCCTATATTTCATAATTTTGCTGCAAGAATCCCCTACTGGATTCCTTTATTTAAAACCTCAGGTTCGTTGGTTCTCTGAAAGTGCAAGTGATTATAATTAAATGTCCACAAATAGTCTTTCACATTAGGGCCAGTGGGAGATAAATAGAGTTAGTCAAAATGTGTCATGTCCTAAGCTTGGTCACTTTTCCCATTATGCCTTGAGATCTGCTAAAACCTTTGTTTTAATGAACTTTGACTGGAGTGTTGCGAAAGGAAATGAAGCATGGTATGTTGATGGAGAGTTTGCTTCAGTATTATGTTCTTTCTCAAAATACACTATTTTGTTCAGGGCTAGCCTAATCCTAGTATGAACTTAGCCATAATTATATGACTCCATTTACCTTGTGCAATTAACTGGATAATTGCATGAATGTGAACATTGCTTTGGCCAGCCTTTCCTCCATATATTCCGCAGGGGACATCCTCTTCAGCTGCAATGTAGTCTTCTGGGATCTAATTATGATGTCTCTTGGAATCTGGCCCACATACAAGAATTCAAGCTGGTTTTCCAGGGTGGAGACCATGAAGAAATCCCAATCGGATTCACTGGAATTCATTTGTAAGCATCATGCTATTCGACTGTATCATAATGGAGTAATTCATTATGATTTTAATTTACACACTAAAATTGAATGCTAAAATATGTGTTGACCGTCGAGCTTCTAGTTCAGCATGTCTGACCTGATATACTTAGTGAGTGTTGACTGATAAGTCTATAAGGTTGAGAGGCCCTATTGTGTTGTTAATGAGACAAGGTACTTGCTGTTGTTATGGGTTTACAGCAAATGGTTCCAGAATGAAAGAAGGGCCAACATTCTTAATTTAGAGGTTAAAATACATTATTTCTTCTCAAGGTGAAAGAAACTTGTAGCAATGATCTGAACTGCTAAAACACTAGACAGAAAAATTGAAGATGAGTAAACCTTTACATTTTGACTGAGTGGAAGAAAATGTCACTTTTCATATTTCCTCAACTTGTCTTATTAGGGCTTAGAAAGAGACCACTGATGTTGATAGCCACAGCATTCTTCCGGGAGAATTATGTTTACATGGATTCAAGATTTTTAATTCATCGAGGACAAAGTACTACCACTTGTGAAGTCATTCACTATCCAAACTCATCTTCTTCTTAAAAAAAAATATTCACCAGGGAGAGTGGGATGTGGAGGGCTGATATGTAAAATGAAAAAATATGGCTAGATGGATTCCATTACATAATTGGGAATAGGTGTTAATCAGTCAATCTAGTTATTTAGCTGTAGTTGTATACTTGATCTTACAGCTCAGAGTGGTGGCAGCCGCTTGCTTTTGCTAATCCCTGGATTACTTTACCTTATTTTCATTTCTATACCTTGACCCTGTTTTGTTTCTTAGCCTTTGTATCACCTATGTAACTAAATTCCTTGTATTACATTTTCACATTCTTGTTTGCTCAGTTGAACTCAACGATGAGAATGAGTTTTACTAATGGAAAGAAAGAGTAGAAAACAGTTGAAGAAGAGAAATAGAGCTGTATTATAATTTATGGATTGACAATGTGTATGTTTAGGACTGTCCTGTGAGCTGTTACTTTTTTCTTTCTGCTGTTTACCTAAGTCACTGCTCACTTGCAGTAGTTCGAAGGACTGGAGGTGGACATCTGAATTTGTCAAGTCTTCAGTGGTGGCTCTTACTAGAGACTTTCATTCCTGCTTTGTCATTTGACCCTCAGTAAGTTTGGTTTTCCTCCAAGAGGATACAGAATTTGTCCACTGAAAGGCTCCTGTATTTTTTGGTTAGTGCAATATGTGGAGAAGAAAGAAGGAATTCTTAACTGTTCAGTGTAGGAAATTAAATATTCAATCCAAATGAGTTCTCTTGTTCCCCATAGAGCCGCATTTATGAAATTCAGACTGATTTAGCATGTGTTTTTGCTTCTTCAACCAAATCATAATATTAATAATTTTTCTGCATACACTTTGGCTGAAATTTTCTCTATAAATGAAGCTCCTTCTAAAATGACTTCCTTAATGTGATGTTAGATGTGATTAGTTCACTGAAAAGCCACAGAAAATATTTATATGATCAACACTGTAAAAGTAATACCTCAGATGCTGTCACATCATATGAGTACTCCATAAAAGGCAATGCAAATGCTCTTTCCATCTATGCCTTAAAGGAGACCAAAAGAAACCATGATGGTCTCAGCTTCTTTATTATAAAAGTTGATCCTTTGATAAATTTTATTAAAGAATAATTTGCTGAATTGGAAAAGAAAATAAAAAATAGGTATGTCATCCAATAATTTGTCCTCTTTATGCTAAAAAAAAAAAAGAAACAAAAACCTCAGCATAATTGGATGCCTTTTAAAAAAATCCAGGTTTTCTGTGGTTTTAAAGCATACAGTCATTTGAAAGACAATCCAGTGTCAAATATTTTGTAGAAGTTGAGAAATTGAAAGCCAAGGTAGAAACCAAGGTGGGCCTTGTATCTATCTCAGGGAGCTAGCCCACTTCTCTGAGACAATTGTGAATTGTTAGTTGCCTCCAATTTAAAGTATTTATGTTTCATATAAAAAAATCCCGGGTTAAATGGAACTCAGATGACCTAGGACTGACATTAGGAACCCCTTTACATGAATTAGAAATAGGACGTGCAAAGCCAAGCAGGGGCGACCAAGTGGATACACAAGCTTTCTTTGGCTCACAGAAGGACGTGCACAGCCAGATGCATTAACACTCTGTGGGCATACATACAGGAACAGCCTTATGTCAGTGTCAGGTGCCAGGCTGCTGATGGTGTATTAGAAATCATCTGATAGGTGGTAACACAAATCCGGGCTCCTCATAAAATAAGTTTACATGGTTTTTTTTGGTAGGAACCAACACCAGGTTGGACAGTTAATGAGCTCCAGAGCTGTTTATTGGTTACTCCTAGGGAGCCTGATGAAGTAGTTCAGTCAAGCTGAGATGCAGTTTGGCTGGTGCAGGGAACCTACCCAGCCTTACTGCTGTTTCCTCTCACATTATGGTAGATATTTCCCTTACCCAGAGGTCTGCTTTCTTGTTTGTTTGTTTATTTAGGGGGTCCATTGCATGGAAATTGATGGGGTTTGTTTGTGTCTTTATATATATATATATTTTTAATCACATTTTGTTGGCAAAGGAGAAGAGGGGATTGGTCAGCTGGATGGCATTAGGTCAAAGGCAGACGGGGAAAAAATAGTCTTGGCTAAGGGGTCCCGGGCAGCTAATGGGTCCCAGGCAGCTTGCAGAAGGCTGTACTGAGAGAATGAAAGATAAGCAAATTTAGCAAGTGCAGGGAGAGGAAGGAGCACTTCCTCCTGGCAATTCTCAGAACTGTTTCTCAGCTATTTACTTCCTATTTTGATACCTAGAGCAACAAGAAACAAGGCCTCTGGAGCAGCCTTTGACTGGCCTTGTCCTGAGCTTGTTTATCCACTGCATCTGTCAGGAAGCAATTATGATAAGGCCTCTGGCACTGGTCTGGAAGATTTTTTTTTTTTTTTTTCTATTTTCTGTGTGGCTTTTGATTGATCATGTTGTACACACAGAGCTCTATTCTTGGATTGATTTATTAACAAGCTTCAAAAGAACCTCCACCATTTACAGGGTTTTTTCCTTTTGCTTCAGAGGAAAAGCATTATTTACACCTTTACATAAGGGCATTCTCTAGGCTTTCAGTTCAATAACTAATGAGGATGGAGTGACTTGTGTCTAGGGATCAATGCCCCCATGTCTAGATGTATTATATATGTGTACACTTGACACTTAATTTATTGTACTGGAGTGGATTTGTTTTATCTGCCGGGAAAGTAAAAGATGAAAGGCTTCTTGAAGAAAATGCTGGTTTGGACAAGTCACTTTAAGACTCCAGGGCTTATTCAAAGGATTTCTATTATTTTATTATATGTTAGGGAGATCCCTCTTATTTTCTTCCTGAAACCACTTCCCCTCCCACAGTTTTCCCTTTGCAATCACCCCAAGCTATACCATGTTGATTTTGTGTCATTGGTTTCATGTTGGATTGGGTCTGCATTTGGAATCTGCCTGCTTTGGACCAGAAATTTGATTTGCTTGGCCCCACTTCAAATATTGTCAGCACTCTGTGCATTAAGGACTCTATAAAAATATGAAATAATAACCACTGCTTTATGAGCTGAAAACAGCTTTTCTCACCACATTTACTTCTCAGTGGACAACAGTAATTTCCACATTTGAAAGACAATCAATATTAAGCATCTTTCATTATCTCCATGCTACTTCCACTGAAATGGACATAATGAGAAATTGGAAGCATCTTATTTCTCTCTGTTTGCAGATGATACAGACTCAATGAATGCTTTTCAAAATTGTAAAAAAGGATACACATTCTTCCCTGCAGTGAGGATGCTTAGATGAAAAATTTGTGTTGTCTGGCAGCTGCTATCACTTGTCATGTTTCTTTTTACTTCTATACCTTGACCAATAGCAAGGGAACAAGTAGAATAGACCACTGATAAAATTAGTTTCTTTTTAGAAAAAAGTGTGACCATCTTGTAACTCAGAGCAGCTTTGGTTTCTGGAAAATATCATCTCAAATTCTGCAGAGTCATCAGATAGGGCAGTTGATTAAACAAACAAACAAATTGGGCGTGAGCAATAATTACACAAGGGCGATGTGGTGACAGCCAATGAGATCCTTTTATGAAGTCATTATTCAGTATGGCCAAATGCCATGTTGAGTCAACAAATGTTGGTCCAAATTTTGCTGTTTTATTCTTAAATTACTGCTGTGTACTAAACTGGGACACAATACTGAGTTTTTCAGAAGACTAATTTTTTAAAAAATGTGATTATTTTCTATTAATGGGGTTAAAGCCTTTTATGAAGTGATTGTAAGGGTAGTAACTAATGCATCAGTGAACAACAAAAAGTGTTTGATATGATGCCAATTGAGTAAAATTTTACAAATATTTAATAGAGTACATTACAGATACCTCATTTACTAGGACCCCAAGGAAGAGAAAAGTTACCCATGATTGGTCATGAGCTGACAAGTAGGATTTCTGGAGGCAATACCTCAGTTATATGACTTGCTTCTTACCCCTGGTGCCCATGATTATAATAAAGCATAAACTGCAAAACATAGGGCATCTGCTCCTAGTCCAGCTGCAGCACAAGCCTCTGTCATGTATTCAGACTTTATTCCTAAAGAGTAGCTTTCCTGGATCCATGAACAGCTCACCGGTTCTAAAAGCAAGGTCTGCAGCCTGAACTCTCCTAGCGTGGGCTTTTTGGGTAATGATACAGTATTTGGATCTGTGTTGTTACTTATTATATTATAGGATGTAGATAATATACTTTGTGGTGACGCTGAGAAAGGAGCATTGACTAGCACACCCAGGAGACCTGGGTTCTCCTTTCGGTACTGTTTTTAATCTGCTAGTGTCACTTGCTTGTGCTTCAGTTTCCATTTGTAAAATGAATGACAGAGTTGGTTGAGGTCAGTGTTTCTGGTCAGGATCTGTTTGCCGTATGCTTCATGCTCAAAAATGCCGGTTGAAACACAGATTCCCAGGTCTATCTTGCCCCTATTGAATTAGAATTTTGTGGGTTGGCCATGCAATCTGCATTTATACTACATTGTTCCTCACAGGTGATTCTTACACAAGCAAAAGTTTGAAAAGTACGTGATTGCACTGAATCTCTCTAGGATTCCTTCCTACTCTTCAGTCTTCTACTCCTCAGGGTAGTGCTTCATCGAAAGGAAGAACTCACTCTCCCTCCCCCATGGGAATGGATGATGGCTGTTCAAGGGTGTTTTGCCCGACTAAATTCTTTTGTAGATAAAAAAACTGTGGAACTTAGTTATCTCCAGTACTTTAGGTTAGGAAGATTGCCTGCATCACAGAGATAAATTAAAACAATGCCCTTGTGGGGGGAAAGCTTCACAAGGTTTTGAAGGCACAGATGTCCTTGTATTACATTCCCCTACAGTCACCTTCAAAATAATCCCTTGAAAGTCCCAGCTTCCTCTTTGTGGGCAACAGTTCAGTCTGTGCCGAGACTCATGCAGCCAGGTGATTCAGCTCTTTGAAAGGCTTCGGTTCAATTCTGGTGAGGATTCAGTTCTTCCCTGACTCCTTCAGACTAAACATTTGAGTTACAAGCCACATTAAAACCATTTGGTAGAGATTGTAACTAGGGAAAGTCAGTTCACAATCTGACACCTTATAAAGCCTTATTTTAGAGTTTGTGGGATTTGGTGTATGAAATTTATTTTTTTGGTCTTAAGCAAGCACCTGGCTGTAGGTTTTTCTCTTGCTGGCTGACAAAACAAAACAAGGTTCAATTGATTTCTCTGCTTTAAACAGTTTTAGTCTTTGCCTAATTTTATTTGGACTTAGTTGAGCTAGCTAGGATCACTGCAAACACAAAGCAGCTGGAGGAGCCTGGGTACAGCCAGATGAATTTGAGCTTGGGTTTCCTTTCTCCAGCATTTACAGAGGTTGTTCTCAAACAGGGACAATTTACCTCCCAGGGACATTTGGCAATGTATGAAGACATTTTTGCTTATCATAGCTGGGGCAGTTCTGGCATCTAGTGAGCAGAGGCCAGGGATGCTGCTAAACAGCTATAATGCCAGGTTAACCCTTATTGCCTACAAAGCATTATCTGGCTCAAAATGTCAACAGTCCTGAAGTCAAAAAGCCCTAATATTCTAGGGTAGCTAGAATAATAATCCATGTATTTTGGGGGTGAGATGTATCCATAAAGCCAGAAAAGAGTATAGGATGGAAGAATAGAAGGAGGGTGGCTTTGACATACACTTTTTGACATAACGGTGCTGAGCATGGTGGCTCATGCTTGAAATCCCAGCACTTTGGGAGGCCAAGGAAGGAGGATTGCCGAAAAGTCTGAGAGCAACCTGGGCAGCATATTAAGACCAGGTCTCTATTTAATTTAAAAAAGAAAACTTTGTATTTGAAAATGAAATCTAACTAATTTCTAGGACAAGTTCAAGCTCAATAAGGTGCTTACAACAGATTTTGACAAGGATCCAGGAGAGAACTGTAGGCTGTGTTAAATATATTAAAGCAGGCCCGCTCATTTTAGGCCAGGTAAGAAACAAGATGAGTTTCATTTATCAACAGAGACATATTAGACACCTTAGCAGTTTGTTTTTATGATGTGATTTTAACAAAAAATACATTTTCTTTTTTCTTTTAAAAGTTGTATTTATAGATTCTAGAATATTATATATATGTATATCCCTATCCTTTCAACTTTTCTAAGGCTATTAAAAGCATCAAATAGTTAACTACTAGCTAAAAAGAGAGCCTAGCTGAAAGCACTTGTTTTTACTGATGTCCCTAAGACCACCTTTGCAAAATTACAACAGTCTGATTTCCAAGCTGTCCATGGTCATTCCTAAGCATACAGCAAGCTAACTTTGGGAGGAATTATAATAGTCCCTCCCTGAAACTAACCCAGGGACCAAATACTCCCTTTATAAGACTAATGAAAAGTCACAGGTATAGGATTATGGGAGGGGCCTGAATTCTGCAACGAGGTAGGCATAGTTTCCATAATTTCTTACTGCTCAGGGGTCCTGTGGCCAGAGATCACAAGCTTTGTGACTTTCTCAGTTGCTCCTATAGATGACGTCACTATTGTAGAACCTAAGATTGGTTTTTCTTGAGGTGTTTCTCACTGACCTCACCCAGACTCATGATCCATGACTCAGCTGGTCCTGTGGCCCCACCCAGAGGTAGACTTAGCCTGTGAGGATGGTTTTCTATACCCGTGTGATTTCATCCCCAACCAATCAGCAGTACTCTTCTCTAGCCCCCCGCCCACCAAATTGTCCATAAAAACCCTAATCTCTGAGCCTTCAGGAGGAAGTGATGTTTGAGTGATAACGTTAGTTCCATGTGATCTGGCCTTGTGTCAATAAAATTCTTTCTTTCTCTACTGTAGTGCCATGGTCTCAGTGGATTGATTCTGTTTGTGCAGTGGCCGGGAAGCACCTGTTGGTGGTTACATCCTTCTACTGTCAACCTGCACTGGTTATTTTCTCTGCTCCACCCATTGTTTTATCTTCCTTGTATACCGACAAGCTCCCTTGCTCCTGGTTTCTTTGTAGATTTGGCTAATGAGAGACACCAGTAAGAAACTGAGGGCAAGATGAAAAAGAAGTCCAGGAGGTTTACCCCAGTTCTCCCGACTTTACAGCATTCTGGCAACAGATGACCCTGTAAGACCCCTTCTTCCTCCAGTTTTGCTGGGAATAAACCCTGGTTTCTCCCCTTGCTCCTTCAGACCTAAGAGTAGTAACGGCTTTTCACTTTTCCTAGTTTCTAGATGCATCACAGTTTCCCTTTTTCCTGTAACTCAACACTACTCTGTAAATAGCCCCTTCAGTTCTTTTCAGTTAAGCCCTTTTTAGTGTAGGCCTCTCAATGATGCACTGTCAAATTTTCAGTGGAAGGATTTTGATTTTTTTTAATGAACTAGTCAATTAATATTGAACTGGAAGCTGTTCTTCTATTCAAGCTCTTTCCTTATAAAAACCCACTGAGTCTTAGTTTCTCATCTGTTAAATAAAGATTTAAAAATACGCTCTGTGTTACACAGAAATGTAAACATTACTGCATTGAAAATTGGAAGCCATATATATATAACATTTATGTTATGTTTTATGTATATAACTTTATGTGTATATTTTAGTTCTCTGGGACTCTTTTTTTCCCCATGATAAATATGCTGATTAGATTAAATAATCTCCCTGGCTCCTTCTAGCTCAAAAAGTTTCACAATCCTTATATATTCTGTTCTTATTGTTCTAGACTATTCAGTAGCATGACCTATAAAAACAAACGAAAAGAATGTGGAACATAAAACTAAAGAAAAATGTTGATAGAAGTTCTCCAGAGAAAGGAAAGTTAAAAGATCTAACTTCTATGTGGTTACAAAGGGCATAATCAAGACCATTGGCTAGATGCTATAGGAGGTGGCTGTAAGTACAATGAATGGGAAAGCCTTTGTAATATACAGACTGGTTCAGTAATGAAGTGGAATATGTTGACTTTCAGGGAAGTGACTTTTCCATCACTGTAATGTTCAAGAAGAGATACATATTTACTGTTTTCTCAGGGGTACTGTGAAGAAGATGCCTGTGATGATATGCGGTTGAACATTGTTTTCACATTTAATGAAGTAATGGCTAGGTAAGTCACAAATGTGCAGTAGTCTTCCCTTATCTGTGGTTTCATTTTCTGAGGATATGACTATATGTAGAAACAGGGCATGTAAAGAGGTTATTAAGGTAAAACGAGGTCATATGGGTGGGCCTTATGCCTCTGCGACTGATGTTCTTTTAGGAAGAGGCAGAGGCACAAGGGGTGTGCATGCACAGAGGAAAGACCATGTGAAGACACAGGGAGAAGAAAGCCCCCTGCAAGCCAAAGGAGAAAGGCCTCAGAAGCCAAGTCTGCTGACACCTTGATCTCAGACTTCCAATCTCCATACTGTAAAAAACACAAATTCAGCTGTTGAAGTCACCAATCTATGGTAGTTTGTTCTGGTAGTCCTAGTAAACTAATAACATGATAAAGGACACTTAGTAGTAGCACATGATTTCAAATTTTTCTATCATATAGACATAATGTTTACTATACTTCCACATCCTCTTCCCCTCACATGTACTTACACCACTGGCACTGGGTGTGAACCCCTAGAAACTCTATACCCAGTGGTTTCAAACCTTCCAGGAGCTGCCATTGCATGTCTTTCCAGCATATCAGTGACTCACCAAGGAGGAGAGCAGCCAGGTGAGGAGGGATTACTGACTATTATTATTATCAAAGTTCTGTTTAGATACCTCCTGCTGGGATGTGCACAAAAGAGAGATCTGGTACATCACTGTAAGCAAGCCTCAGCCTTCAGAATGCAAAATGTGCTCTTGAATCTAATTAGATATGAGATCAAAGTAAAGAATTTTGTTCCCCAAATTGACTGGAAGTTTTGTATTTTTTTAGTGGACTGGGTCACCTGACGGTACCAGTCAACCTACAGGCTCAAACTGATTTGTACTTTGGAGGGAAGGAGAAGTGGCTTTGGAAACTGCAACCTTTTCTAAATCAAGGTATTTTCTAGATACCATCTGTTTTTGGCTCTAGTTGGCTGACCCTTCTAAGGCAGCACTGTACATCTGCAATGATTTATACAAACAGAGTCTGCAGCTTGGTTATTGTGGCGTGACTTCTTCCTCCCAGCCCTGTGCATACTTTTAGGACCGAATGGAAGAGCCCACCAGTAGCAGAATCCCATGAGGAAGAAGTTTGTTACCTATGGATTCAAGGTGAAAAAGACGAAGTACTATTTCTTTTGAAATAGGTGCTTAAGAAGCAGAAGAAACAGCTATAGGGAGAAGCATTCTCCAGGAAGATCATCATCTTAGGCCAAATGCTATCAGGAATGTAGCATGAAGAAGAAAAGCTTGAATAGATCAGGAGAGGTCTAGGTGTAATTCTAACTTCTAGCACAGGAACACAGTGGTTGGACAGGTCATTCAGACCTTCCATACCCTCCTAAGAAATCCAGTCTGTGAAAAAAAATAATGGGAAATTTTACATAGCAATTCAGGCACTAAATGCTTTATATTTATTGTAACTCAGTTAATCCTCCCAAGGGTTTTTGAAGCTTGTTGTCTTACACAGAATTCCAAAATGACCCTTAAGATTCCTGCCTCCTTGTGTATATGCCCTGTATGATCCTCCCTCCCTCACAGCCACCTGAGCATGCATGGGACTTACAAATATGAAGCCTATCACTTTATGATTGTTGCTTTCTAAGATGAAATAAGTTTGTAGATGTAATTAAGATCCCTAATCAGTTGGCTCTGAATTAATCGAAAGAGAAATTATTCTGTTTGAACCTGACCTAATCAGGTGAGCCTTTAAAAGGGACTGGGCCCATCTTGAAAGAAGAAATTCAGCCAGGCGTGGTGGCTCATGCTTGTAATCCCAGTACTTTAGGAGGTCGAGGTGGGTGGATCACACGGTCAGGAGATCAAGACCATCCTGGCCAACATGGTGAAACCCTGTCTCTATGAAAAATTAGTTGGGTGTGGTGGCAGGCACTGTTAGTCCCAGCTACTCAGGAGGCTGAGGCAGGGGAATCACTTGAAACCGGTAGGTGGAGGTAGCAGTGAGCCGAGATTGCACCACTGCACTCCAGCCTGGGGACGGAGCAAGACTCCATCTCAAAAAAAAAAAAAAAAAAAAAAGAGAGAGAGAGAAAGAAGAAATTCATAGAGGAGTCCATGTAAGAGGGACTCTTCTGCTGGTCTTAATGTAGCAAACTTCTGTGTTGTGGAGAGGGACACATGTCAGGTATAGCAGGCAGCTTCTAGGAGTTGAAAATGACCCCTCCATTGGCAGTCAACAAGAAATCAGAAACCTCAGTTGTACAATCACAAGGAAATGACCCAAAAAAGCTTAGCAGTGAGTCTTTCCTTAGTCAAGTCTCCAGATGAGCATGCACCCAGCCAATTCCTTGATTTCAGCCTGTGAAACCCTGGGCATATACATATATATGCACTAAAATGTGACTGGCTCTGACCTGCAGAAACCATGGGAATACATTTGTGTTGTTTTAAGTCACGAAGTTTGTATCCACAGAGACTGCTAAGTTTGTGGCAGTTGTCATGCGGCAATAGAAAACTAATTCACTGGTGCTATCATTACCTCTATTTTGCAATAGGGAAACTTAAACTAAGTTGTCTAAGGTCACAAATAAACAAGTGGTAGAACTTGGATTTGAACCTGGCTTCTGACTCCAAAGTGTGTATGTTTAACTATTGCCCTGCACCAAGCTCTTGCCACCTGCCGTTTCCCTCTCCCTATAAGTCGCCATGGCGAGTGTAGACGTAGGACTCCTCCCTCTGGTATATCGGTCTGAAAAACCATTCTGAAGGCAGTAACTCTAGGCTTGTGGCCTCTAGCCAGTCTCCCACTCTGTAACAACTCCTATTTTTCATACATGGGAAATTCTAGGCTTCATTCCCAGAAGGTTTTTTTTTTTTATTTTTTTTTTTTTTTTTTTTTTAACACTTCTCTTAAAAAAAAAAAAAATCTACGGTTTTTAAATTATAGCCCTGTGGTTAAGGGAAAATGACATTTACTGGGGAAGCAACTTGTTACGGTCTTAGGTACTCTGCCAACTGCAATGAAAAGGGGGCTTTTAAATGTCATTTATACATTAAGAAAGATTTAAAGAGACACTAAAGAATATACCTCGCTGGCACTGCCAAAATCTGTAGGCCTTATATCTACGAGTATCCTGGGCTAAAATTTAATTCGTTCTTTTATGTGTGAATAGAGTATGTTCTGCCCCAAGTCTAAACCAAAATGTTTAAAAATCACCCTTCATTTAAAGGGATTCATGGAGGCATGCCAGATCTACAAAGATACTAAGTGTGGATCTGAAGAGGAGGCAGAAATCTCCATTACCTAGAGAGTCTCTTTTTAGGGTGGAAAAATTATCTTAAAATGAGGCAATATGCTGTTAAGTAAGAGGACTTAACCTGGATGAGTTGTCTTAAACTTTCTGAAAGCCAAAACAGAATCTCCTCTAATTTAAATAAAAGATGACTGAGGCCCAGGTAATAATAATGGTCCAGGTATCAAAAGATAAAGAGGTGAGTAATCAGATTTATTCAGCAATGCTATTGAGTTAAATTGAATTTCCACTGTGGCTGATTTAATCTGATCTCTGTAGAATAGAGGTTGAAGGAAGATAAAAGCTTGAGGATAATACTGGCAGTGATACCACTGTGATGCATTTTAGGTTCTGCCAGTTAATTTCATCTATGGCCATGAATATATTAGCATTATTTATCTCTGTTGTTTCATTGAGTTATTCATGTTTTTGCCTGTAAAATGCTCTTGAGAACACTTCTCCCACTAACCTTCAAACATCTTAGACCCTGTATTTCAGCTCTGCTCATTTATAGCCCTTACACTTGCCTTGGAAGGGCCTACAAAATACTGATACATTTCACTTTTCTGAGGTTGATGGAGCACACTAGCACATTAAATTGAAAAGTGGTTGTTATATATAAAAGTGACGTAAGAGTCTCAGTATCACTAGGCTGTGTATATCAAGCTGTTTTTATTATAAGTGTTGAATTTGGGCCAAGTCGTTTAATGCGTTTTAATCTTGTGACCGAGAGTATGCATTTACAAGATTTTCACCAGGAATAAGTGTGCACTAGAGTAGATCTGCTTACCATGTGTTGATACCACAGGAATATGATTTTTAGAAACAGGGTAAAAAATGGTACAATGGTGAGGGACTATTTGGTCAAAAAATTTGCAAAGACATTTTTAAATAATGCTAAGAATTGGATATCTTTAAAAATCTAATTATGATGTATTTGTGTAGCACAAGGCCTGCATCTTAGTAATAATAATCCCCCGTGTCCATAGCAAGGTCCCTTGAAGGTGATATCTAACTCAGGATTGCTGTGATGAATTTAGGAGAAAATACATGAGACTGTACCTAACACAATGCCTGGCACCTGTGAGTCATTTAATTGGTAGAAAATAGAAATCTAAAAAACAAATTAACAGGTTGTATTGAGTGCCTAAAATAATGTATGAATGCAGGTAGGAAACATTTAAGATACTTATTAATGAGTAGGCATGGGATTTTCTGTCATATGACTACATAACTTCTTAACATTGAAAAACATTGTTTTAAGAGAGTTTTTGACATTTTAGTATCTCATGACTGTCAAATTCTTTTAGAGAGGAGCTTACACAGAGGGAATGTTGCATCATTGAAGAACACTGTGGGATGATAAATTGGGCTATACCAAATCAGGTCATCCTTAGTCAAAATATATAATGACGGTCTTATCACAGACATCTTCCCTGGGTTAAAGTACCTGACCCAGGAGTTTTATCTGAATGATAGCTAGGTGGATAACAGTATTTTCTCATGCACACACCGTGAGCAGAAGAAAAGCCAGGGTGAAAAGCCCTTTCCCCCTGAGGCTTTAGCCACCTTCAGGCTTTAGCCAACTACCCTGCATGATACTCTGGTCTATTTAAAAACACATTAGTTGGAAAACAAAACAAAATATCAATTTAGTTGTAAGGATGTTGACCAATTCCCTCTACTATTTCAGGCATCGCGACTCTGCCCTAATTGGCAAATAGGTCACAGAAGGCTGATCATATTATTACATCTGCGTCACTATAAAATTGAACAGTTTTGTTTATTTAATTATTTTCATTAGATACCCTTGATGTTCTTTATTCTTTAATTTTCTTCTAAAGGAAAGATTGTATTTGTCACTCTTTTGGAGCCTGCCAAATAGTGTAATTGATAAAGGGTATTTCAGGTATTGGGCTCACTGTCTAGAATTCACTGCAGTCTTCATTGTTCTGGGGGAAAAGAAAACAAACACTTGGAAGTGGCAGTGGATAAGCCAGGGCCATGGTTTAAGCAGTGGAAGGAAGTGTAGTTAGTTTCAGCGTAGAGGAAATCTATCTAAAGGAAACTGGATTGATTTCTTTAAGGAATAAAAGCCAGAGTGCTCTGTGGGGAAGGTGAAACACGCGGTGACAGTTTGCTCAGCTTTCAGTACAGTCACAAATACTAGTCTGCTGAGTAAGAGCACCTGGGAACAGTCACAGAAGGGCTCTACCACCGCAATGAGAGGCTGTGTAGGACCTGCCCTGAGCAAATAAACGAGAAAGTTTGTCCTCCACAGGTGTCCACGTCCCGCCTCCACCACCATATTCTGCAACCTCTTCTTCAAGTCTAGAGTTTCTTTTCTCTATTTTCTTTTCAAAGGCTTACGGTGTTTTCATTACTTTTCTGTTGTTGTTGAAAGTATTTCTTCTGTTTTCTTTCTGTAGTGTAAAGTTCTCTAATTAAAGCAGGAAAGTAGTTTGATAAACTGTATTCATACTAAGGTAATAGAGTCTCAGGATTTTTTTTTAACACTTTGTAGTGATCTTTCCGCTAATACTTGGAAAGGATTGTGCTGAACTTAAGGAATTTTTAGACACTTGAGAACCAGAATGGAAGAGATAAGCAGGCACTTGAGCAAAAGTTGAACAGAGTGAATAC